GGATATTATATGCATATTCTTGATTTTATCCTTAACAAACAACCTCTGAGGGTAAGTATCATCTCCATTTCACAGTTGAGAAATTTCATGCTCAGAGAGGGTAAGTGACTTGCCTGAAGACAAACCACAAGGAGGGCAGAGCTAGGATCTGAAGCCAGGCCTGTATGGCTCCATGTCTCTGCTCTGTCTGCAGGCCTGGTGGGTCCTCAGTGACACCTGATATTTAGACAGAGGGAGTTATTGTCCTGGCCAAAGGACCACATGTAGCAGCAAGGCTATGGGGAGTGGGGGCCTCAGGAAACTGTCTTAGTGGAGAGTCATGGGGGGATGTGGTTTCACCAGATTGTGAAAAGCCTTGAATACCAAGCCATTGAGGATGGACTTTCTTCAGTGGGCAGAGGAGGTCTGGAGGAAGAGAGGGAAGAATATAAAGAAAGCAGAAAAGTTATCCCTACTGATAAAGAGATACATAGGCTCATGTTTCCCATTCTGGCATTGACCCACTCGTGTTTTCCTCTAGGCCTCACTATCTATGAAATGGGTGCACTATTCTTCATTTACCCACCTCTTAGAGATCGTGTTTTAAATGATGAGAAAAGTTAGTAAAAATAGAGAAAACCTACTGACTGCATAACCGAGGATGTATTTACAGATGAAGGTGGAATTCTTGTGGCTCATTAAAATGATTACTGTCTCGTTTTTAAAATGCTAGCCTTCATCTTCGTGATTTATTCATCTTAAAGATCTGGCAACAACTTTTGCTATATACATTCTTCTTTGTTCTAAGAGAAAGTTTTTGATGCTCTGCCAAATAATCTCATTTCTTAAAGCAACGCTGAGCTGCAGGTCCCCCTGGACTCCTATTCCTTTCTCTTAAAAGAGGAGAAAACCCACTGAACCTCGTCACAGACAGCCTATTAGTTTATAACTTTTTAGATCCCAGTGAATGTGAGAGATGATTGGAGAGTCTCCTTCAGGATTTTAGTATCTGTGAAGGTTTAAATTGTCAGGTGAGAACCAACCTTTCTGCTTCAGCCCAAAATACTCTTGAGGGTCTTTTTACAAGGTCACAATGTGGGCCTTCTGGTGCTTGCCTCCCAGGGACCCCATTAGAGAAGCAGTTCTGGAAACTCAGTAGGCAGAAAAGGAAGCTCATGTCCACAGGCATTTTAGCAGTTTCCCAGCTTCAGTTTGAAATTAAAACCTGATGCATTGTAGAGGGGTCATTTGGCACCCTTCCAGAGAAAGTTCAGGATCGACTTTTTCCAATGATGAAACTGTAATCCAGCCATCCGTGAAATTCGACCCTTTACTTTTCAATTGGAGGAAAGGACTGTTGGTCAGCTCCTTGTCTGGAGAGAGCCGAACCTCTGCCGGCCCTTTGGAGTGCTGGTCTCGAAGGGACAGGATCCAGAGATCAGCAGGGACAAGAAGAGGTGTCATCCAAACTAGATGGAACTGTGGGAGAAGAATGTCATCACTTTTTCTCAAATTATGTAATTAATTGCCAAATATGTGTTCAATTGCAAATCTGTCAGTTGAAATGGTTTGTTGGAGGGCCCAGATTTAGACCTTCTGGTGCCACCTCGTTAACAATATGCTTATAGAAAGATTTAGGTCATAGCTAAGTATTCTCCTTATGAGAAAAAATGTAGTTATGTAAAAGACAAATGAGGAAAGCCTTAATGGAGTGCACTTGCCTTTTTAAATCCTACAGTTTGGGGCCAGTATTTTCCCCCTCAAAGATGCCCATGACAGAATGAGAGCAAGACCTGCCTTTACCAATGAAATAAATGAAAAATCATTAGAGAAACTAAAAATAAGTTCAACATATGCACACATCCCTTACCCCAAGCATGAATCCAGTAAAAACCTCTTTGGGACTGAACTAAAGTGTACCTTTGCATTATCTACAGGAAAGAAATAATTTTCTAAACAAACTAACAGCATATGTAGCATCTGCCTCAGTTGTCCCAACCCTAAGGGAGATGGTAAAGTAGGCATAGGTCTACTGGGCCACCAAGGCCCCACGAGGGCTACCCACTGGGGCCTGCGGGCAGGAGCAGACTGAGGATCTCATTTATACAAATGGCATCAGTAAGGACCTCTGCTCACATAGGTGCTTAGGTCTGTGCGTCAGCCTACACTGGTGAACTTCCAGAGTCATGACTCTGCTCCAGCTCCACACACACACACTCTCACCCCCACACACACACAACAACATACAAAAGGAAGGCTGGAACAGCTGGGAAGATAAAACAGTCAGTACCCCTCAAAATGGGGTCTAGTGACCCTCAACATCAGCATCAACCATCAACCCCTCAGCATCACCTGGCAACTGTTAGAAATACAAATTCTCAGGCCCCACCCCAGACCTCCTCATTCTGAATCTGGGGGTAGGGGAGTGGGGAAGCAATCTGTGTTCCATGACCCCTCCAGGTGATTCTAATGCATGCCTAAGTTTGAGAGGCTAGGACCTAGATGACCCAGGTAACTGTTAGCTTTCCGGAAAATGAACAAATTTTACCAGATGATATGGAAACCCATTCCTAAAGTCTAAACGACATAAACGTTCAGATACAGGCATTATCTCAGTTCCTCCCATTCTCCTAATCGCAGAAACTGATGAAGGCACTGGTTTTCCCAAGCCTTTCCCATTATTTCTCTGCAGTGTTGCTAGGTTTCCCACTAGAAAAAGATTCCATGGTCAAATGAGTTTGGAATATGACTGAGTGAAAAAAAATGTGAAACAGGGTTTTTCCTGCAGAGCTCTTTAATATGCTGATGCTTGTTTTGCATTTTTAAGAGGAGGGTGTAGAATTTCCTGAACTTACTTGATCATAGAGCCCTTGTTTCCAGGAACATCTAGAACTAACGGTCTAAGGAACACACTTAAAGTTAGCCAGAGTTCGCCTAAGCTGCTTCCTGCTTCATGAGAATGCCCCAAAAGAACATAGAAAAATGAAACACGCCTGAAGTGCCTGGAAAGAAAGAATAGGCTTAAGAGAAAAAAAGTTTAGTTTTGAAAACCCAGGGCACCAAGGGAATGCTATATGTTTTAAATCCTAAAGGTTGAAGACTAGAATATTCCTAACTTCAAATTTTTGAATACTCATGAAGTTATTGGCAAATATACAAAGATAAACATAAGGTGGGCAGGAGACCACCAGATACTTGCATGGACACAGAAAGTGATAATAACAAAAACACTTACTGAGTGCTTACTATGGGCTAGACACTCCTCTAAGCACTTATTAGAATTAACTTATTTCATCCTGAAAGCAATTCTATGAGGTGGCTATAATCATGACTCCTTTTTACAGATGTGGAAACCCATGACTCAGTTTCCTCACTGCTCAGGGTTGCATAGCAGGGGTGTGGGGAAGGCAGGATGCACATCCAGGCCCCCTGAGCCCAGAGCTTGTGTGCTAACCACAGCACTATACTCCTTACACTTGCTACTCGAGAACTTGGAGTGCAGTTGGCCATCAGAGCACAATCCATGGCGGGCTGTGGGGAGTGTCAGGTGACTGGTACAGGCCGTAAACACATCTCTCTGGGTTTGGACGGTAGAGGTGTTGTAAGCAGCTCTCAGGACCATCTGTGAAACTGGTTCTGGAAGATGTTCCATTAGAAAGTCTTTAAGAGGCAAATCGCAGCTATTGATCCAAGAAGATTTTATAACGATATCTGAGAGAGTATGAATCTGTTGTGCTTTGCCACAGTTGAAACTGCATTTTTAGGAGGATTATTTTGTCATATAGGAGTATGTAAATGTCCTTGCGTGCCTGTACCAAAAATGAGGGTAGAACCCCATTTAGCAAAGATGGTTGAACTCCAGTTTGCAAGTTAACCCTGTGGTTGGTGCTGAGAATGGAAAGGTGGTTTAAGATGTACCCCCGCCCCTGGAGTCCTCAGTCTAGTTAGGGAAATAAGATAATATATTTGTTTTGTTTTTATTTAAAATTTTTTTATCCCTACCTTTTCCCAGAAAGGATTTAAGGCCAGAGATAAGATGTATGTACAGACTTTTTGTTATTCAAACACTATACAAATACTGTGAAATGTCAAGTATTGATATAAAAATGAGTTAGTCAGCCGAGATTTGGAGCTCTAAGCTAGGGTTCAGTGGCACAGGCATCGTGATAAGTAGTCTCAGCCACAGTCCATGGCCAAGAATGCCGATTTTACCCTGTGCCATTGGTTCTGCCTAAGATGCCAACCCTATTGGGCCAGTGAGAGGTTGGGACTGAATGGCTCCCAAGGTCCCTTCTATCACTTCTGACATTTTATGAGCCTTGCTAGGGGTGGTTATCATAATGGGAGATACCCACAAATTAGATTATACCTAGTTGAAAGCCTTTAAACTAGGTTCTTAGAATTCCTGTGACTTCTTTCTGATTTAGTTTTCTTTTTATCTAACTTAATGTATTTCACCAAGTACTCACCATTCTGTTTTGTGACCAGGTAGGGTGAGGTATGTTGGAAGCTGCTTGTTAGTGTTGTATCTTAGGCCCAATGCCCCATGTCATCAGAATGTCACCTGAGTTGTCTGTACCGATAGGATCTATGGGGAAGTCACAGTAAGAGGGAGGCAGAGGCAGGACAGAGCTGAAGAGCACAGACTCTGGAATTGCAAAGTGGTGAATTAGAATCCTGGCTCGGCGATTTCCTTGCTGTAAGACTTGTGGCAGGTCACCTATCCCGTTGGGTTATTGTGAGGGTTAAATGAGATGATGCATGTAAACCATTTCTATAGTGCCAGGCACAGTAAGTGTTAACTTGTTAAAAAACACATTATTACTATTATGATCATTGTTAAGAAGTGGTTAGCCAGGGTTGAGGTAATGCACGTGCCGGAGGAAGCTGCTGCGATAGTAAATTGTCATTGATGGTTGACACCTGCCCATTGTAACAGTGACCGAGGATTCTAAATGCCAAATCTTGTGACTGAGGTTTGTGACTTAGTAGATCAGCTAGCATTGCTGTTTCCCTTCTAGCCTGTGACTGTGACCCCAGGGGCATTGAGACACCGCAGTGTGACCAGTCCACCGGCCAGTGTGTCTGCATCGAGGGTGTCGAGGGTCCACGCTGTGACAAGTGCACTCGAGGGTACTCGGGAGTCTTCCCTGACTGCACTCCTTGCCACCAGTGCTTTGCTCTTTGGGACGTGATCATCGCTGAGTTGACCAACAGGACTCAGAAGTTCCTGGAGAAAGCCAAGGCCTTGAAGATCAGTGGTGTGATCGGGCCTTACCAGGAGACTGTGGATTCGGTGGAGAAGAAAGTCAATGAGATCAGAGACATCCTGGCCCAGAGCCCAGCTGCGGAGCCACTGAAAAACATTGGGAATCTCTTTGAGGAAGCAGAGTAAGTAGTTAATGAGCCAGAGTAACAACTCACAATATTGCTTCAACTTTATGAATGAACAGCAGAGATGTCCTGGTGTGGTGCTTCCGTCAGAAGGTGTGGTTAGTCCTGTGAGTGAAAACAGATGCTGGGCCATTCGTTTCCGGCCATCTTTACTCTGGGCATTGGATGAGTGAACGTTGGCACATCACTGGGGACCAGAATTGTGGAGGCTGCAGTATAGAATGTGTGCGTGTTGTGTTCAGCTCTCCTCTCTGCAGCGGGGCTCTAAGGCAGTAGAATGGCAAGAATGCTGGATTCGGAGACAGAGGATCCATAACTGAGCCACAGCTTGGTCACTTGCTAGGCTTGTGAACTTGAATGCCTCGCTTATTCCTAAGCCTCTCTTTTCTCTCCTGTGGAAGAGGGGCAGATAATATTTGCCTTTCCCTTCAGAGTAACAAAAGGATTGATCTCTGAAATGATAATGTAATTGCAAAAACCATCATAAATATAAATTGTCATATGTTTTGCTGCTACCAGGGAAATTCCATTACCACAAATACAATTCCTATTTCCAAGTTATTTCCGCTGCTCAGCAGTTGATCCACTAGAGCAGTGCTTCATTTGTCTAATTATAACAAGACACTCCACAATGAAAAATCCTCTTCCCAGCCCTTCTCTGGGTAATCATCCCTCTGATTGGATAGTATTGTTCTGCCAGTGAAAGCAGGAGAATTGACCTGAGTGATGCCAAACTTCTCAGGGATTATTTTTATACCGTTTCTCCTAGACTTCTCTCTCCTGCTCTCAAAGATTCCAACTACCTTTGCCAAAAAGAACCCCCAAAAACAGCACAGTAAGATCTGAACTGGAGGACGAAACAGGAAAGGGTGGGAAGCATTTGTTTCCCCAAATGCTAGGGTTTTCTTATTGCAGACTCACCACTGGGCATGAGCAGGGGACTGTTTAACAGCCAAGTCCTGTACAGTGAGGTGATTTTACATTATGACAGAACTACAGCAACATGTTTTGTGTGACGGGACTTTAATCAGCATCTCTAAGAAGCCAGATGGACTTTTCATTTCAAGGCAATGTATGAGAAGCTGGAAGGGAACAGCTGACATTAGCTCAAGTTCTTTGTAGAAGGTCCTTCCTAGACCTTCTAGATTTAAAGTAACTGGTCCCTTGGTTTCAAGCCTCGGGTTTTGTGCCCAAGACCATGTGGTTGACTAGGGTGTTAAGAAATGTCTGATGTGGGGCGATAATGCATTTAATGAGGAATTTTACCTCATTAAAAAGTCTGTGGTGCAGCTCAGCCTTCTAATGCGCAGCGATTACAAGTTTTGGAAGGCCGTGGTCTGAGTGCAAGCCCATTTAGGAAACGATTCTTGGCCTTGGTCTCGTGTACCTCAGGGTAAACAAAAAAATCTGGTGTCCTTTGAGAGCCTGCCAGAAGAGAGGTTACGTTTCTGAAACAGCTCTGTTTCTATCCTCACTGTTCATTTAACTAGATAGATCATAATAATTGCAGGAAAACTAGTTTATTAATATTTTTTCAACACAATATCCAAGGATGTGTGTTTTAGGATCCAAAGCGTCATTGTTTAAAAGTATACAATGTTAGATTTGACTTTTTTTTTTAATTGTCTGAGATCTGAGAAGAAATGAAAGCTTTCTGTGAATCAACAGATTAATAAAAGCAAAGCACTGAAGAAAGAAACTATATTCTAATAGCCTCAGGAAACAAGTCATTGGGTTTATAAAATGTTTACAAATCCTTTTAAGTACTTTTTCTTTGAGTTGGGTGATGGTATTATCTCAGCCTTAAATATCATTTTTCAGGTGGTCCCCAACCTTTCAGCATCTCTACATTTTCTCAGTTTTTTTATACTGACTGTTTTATCTGAGAAGACAATTATATTCCATTAGGTGACCCAATAATACCCAGACCTAAGGTCCTCTTAAATATTACTTTCTTTGTGATATACACATGCACACATGCTGTATATACAAATAGATGCCTAAAATACAGCCTTGGAGACAGGAAAAATGCAGAACAAAATGCAGTTGGGTTTAGATTCCAAATGAAATATTGTGAAAACTAAATGTTTATCATATTCCATTCTCAGGAGATACTACCTTCTGTCTTATGAAAAATAAAAGGGTTACTTGTTGGTGGAAGAAAAGAGGCTCCTTCGATGGGACCTTGCTTAAAAGGGGAGTGTATGGAAAGCCCCTTCGTCTCCCAGGTGGCCGTGGGGCTTCCTTGCTGCATGTCCCATCTTGAAGGAGATCCTTGAGGTTCAGATAAGAGCATTTTGAGCCGATGGCTGGGAGGCATAATTCTACACTGGAGTCACTTCTGTCTTTTGAGTTATTGGGATTGTATGGGCTTGAAGCTGCTTAGACAGAGTTGGAACCCCGCAGTCGGGACATATGCTCATAATACAGCAGAGATTTGGAATCCCTCAGATAGGCCCATCTGCCACACCACAGCTAAATGGTGCTTCTGTGTTCTTTTTCAAACTCTTCGAAGAAAGAAAAATTGTTAGATTTAATAGTCTCTTAATGAGGAGAATAAAACCAGTACTTAGAGATAAATTGTTACCAATTACTGAATTCGTTTGAAATTACAGAGAAATGGGTACAGTATTAGTAGAAAAGGTAAAAATGAGACTTCAAAATTCCCCTTGGGTTGTTTTTATTTAGGTAAACTTACCCCCTTCTCTTTACAGGAAACTAACCAAAGATGTTACGGAAAAGATGGCTCAAGTAGGAGTGACATTATCTGACACAGCTTCACAGAGCAACAGCACAGCCAAAGAACTAGACTCTCTACAGACGGAAGCAGAAAGCCTAGACAGCACAGTGCAAGAGTTTGCTGAACAATTGGAATTTATCAAAAACTCAGATATTCGAGGTGAGCATTTTTTGTGCAAGTACTCAATCCTGGACAATGGATTTAACCATCTGTCTAGCCTTTTAATACAGCACTTGCAGGAAAAAATTAAGTGCTTTCTGATAATTTTAAAGCTTTTTCTCCTTCAGTTTCTGGCACAAATGAGGATTAAAGTCCCCATTTTACAAATGTGGTTCCTGGGGCACAGAGAGACTAGGAGACATAGCAGAGGTCCCATGGAGCGAGCAGCAGTCATTGGATTAGAATGGCATCTGTTTCCCGAGTTTTTTCAGTTCGTGGTTTAACCTCCTGGCTTTTCTTGGAAAGGGGCTCTTTTGAATAGTTAAGAAATTAAGTTGATACTTCTGCAAGTCCTTTTATATTCAAGAATGTTGCTTGGTCAGGAAATAACTTTTGCAAATCCTTCATTTGTTGATATCATAGGCCATATATAGGACCCTCCCCCCAGAAAGCAAAAGAAAGATGTCAGTTCACACTATATCCATCCTGTTTTATGCATGATCACTTATTTTTTGGGCTAGGTCCTTAAAGCAAAAACATCTCATACTATTTTATGTATATAATACTAGCCATTTGAGGGGATTTAAATAGTTAAATGACTGAGAAAAGGGAAAAATTACCTGGACATGTAATCTACAGGCTGCCTGACACCAGCGATTTGGAAATAACTGGATGTTTGCCTGTGTGTAGAAACAATCCAGATGTTTGGCATCCTCCAGAGCCAGAGTAGATGCTAACAGGACAAAGAATATTCATTGGTCATGAGAGGAAAGTTATATTTCTTCATAAAGATTTTGTTCCTTGAATTTTAAAACAAGACCATACAGTAAATTTAGGGCTGAAAGACACCAAATACAGACATTGCTTGATGAAGAGACTGGGTACAAGGGGATTAACTGTGGGCAATTTCATTTCGTGCTCTAGGCGCCCTGGATAGCATTACCAAGTATTTCCAGATGTCTCTCGAGGCAGAGGAGAGGGTGAATGCCTCCACCACAGATTCCAACAGCACTGTGGAGCAGTCAGCCCTCACTCGAGACAAAGTGGAAGACTTGATGTTGGAGCGCGAGTCCCAGTTCAGGGAAAAACAAGAGGAACAGGCCCGCCTTCTGGATGAACTGGCAGGGAAACTACAAAGTCTAGACCTTTCAGCCGCTGCTGAAATGGTAAGATTTGAGGGTTGGGCCTCAAGGCCATCATGCTATACTAGAAAAAACACCCTCCTTTGTCTTTAATAGTGTTTACTTTTCAAAGGAATCAGCAGGAGTGAAACTCCTAGGCTCCCATCTCTGGACCACAGGGTATGGGGTATCCATGACCAAGACAGATTAAAAACAGCAGCATATGTGATTCCAACCTTCCCTCTCTTCCAGTGGTTTCTCTGTGGTACAACCAAAGAAACATGACTACTTTCCTATACTGTTGTATTGACTCAGTGACTTATTTAAACTTGATCCTTTTTATACTGTGGACCTTTCTTTTTTACCTTGTTTCGGTTTGAAGTGCAAACTCTATCTCAGTGGAGCAATTCAAAATCATTCTGGGAGGGACTTCCTAAAAAATTAAAGGGAGCTAAAGAATTTTTTCCACGGGTGCTAGTTAAAATGTTCCTTTGTTCCAGTAACTTTACCTGGTGAAGATTAACCCTGAGAGTCTAGAAAGTAGATTCATTTCCCAGAAGCTTTTAAAAAGTAACTCAGAAGCCAAATGAAATTGAGTAGTGAGTTTAATGAAAATCAGGCAGAAGTCCAAAAAGCACAACTCAGCCTGTTTCCTCTCGATTCCTTATTGTTTTTCATGGAAGAGTACCTATCTGAGAGAATCTGGAGGGTATTTCTTATAGACTTTTATTTTATAAGGCTTGTGTTCTCTTAGCTTAGAAAGACAGAGGGACATTTAGTAAAAGAAGGGGGAAGGTGGGTGCATGGAAGACTGTGAAGAGTTTGGACTTCATCACGATTTTGTCTTAGTGACATTTCCCCCCTCCCTCTCTGTCTCCTTCCCTTGCCCCCTCTCGCTTCTTCTGAAATAGACAAAACACACTGTCTGTACTGTATTGTGACGAATTTAATTGATGCCTACAAGGTTATATATTCATTATCTTATGAACTAGTAAGTAAGTAGATCTGGTGTCACCATTTAACAGAAAAGTGGAGGCTGAGAGCAGTGTGTAAACTGCACCTACTGGGAGACAACGTCGTTATACATAGGCATGAAATGCCAATTGTCTCAATCTTCTTTCAGTGTTGATTCCGTCCTTACGTCTAATAAAAACCAGTAATCACAAATAATATCTCTACAAACTAAAATGAAAGCAGCTAAGCTTGCTAAAGGATGTTTGCTTTGCAACAGAAGGTATCCCGGAGTGGGTGGTGATGGGTGGGTTCCCCTGGCCATGTGAATGGATACCCTTCCCTTGCTTGCTTTTACATCTGGTGAGCTCCTAGGGATTACCCAGCTTCTTCTGTTCTCTCATTGTATGTGTTTGTCTTTGTTAATTATCCTATGAGAATTCCCTTCATAGGTTCTATACTTATGCTTCTTATATAGAAATAGACTTTTGTCCCTTTGTGTTTTTCAGGTACCTTCAGTTCTCTGTCTTTGTGTATATTTAGCTAGACCCGTGCTGTTTTTATCATGCCTGCCCATCTGTTGAAATAAAACAGATCTTCTAGCATTGTCAGATTGTTTTTAGAAAGCATCCCTGAGGTCTTATACGCGTCTCTTCTTGATTACGGCTCATATTCTTCTATAGCACGTAGGATAAACTTTATTTTCTGAAGCTTTTTATGTACTGTAAACCAGATAGACGAAAGACTATTTTATTTACTAGAGATATAATGGAATTATCATTATCATAAAATTATTAGGCTAAAGAGTTGATTGTATTTATTCAAAAACTACTTTTTTACTTCTTAAAAAGAATACTTTGCTTGTTTGGGAGTATTCTGTTAACTGCTTTTCAGTGCAGTAAATCTTTTGCCTCTTTTCAATATGAGCATTTTCCACAAAGGATAGCTCTAAAACAATCTTCTCCCTACTCAGCCTTCTCCATCATAGAGGGAACTTATAATTTATCAGTATGCATGTGTATGCCAGGACCAAGCCCTGATAGTTGGAAGTTTCTAGTGGATAAGAAAGAGGAGGAGTGGGGCGGTGGGGGAGTTGCGGGGGGCGGGGGTTTGCTCATTTGGAAATACAAACCTTTGTGCTGTTTTCTCTCTTCCTCTCACATCTGGAATGTCCCCCCACTTCCCCTGCTCAAATCCCACCAGCCAACACATTCTTCTCCCACTACAACTAACTCAATCCTCAGTAGTCTATCCTTTATCTGCTTTCCTTTATACTTAACTGCATCTGACCTATTCTTGGCTGTTCTATGTAGAATGATCTTGTCTTTCTAACTGGATGGGAAGTTACTAAAAGGCTAGATAATGGCCCTTTTATCTCACCCTATTCACCAGAACAGTTAACATGGTGCTAGGTCTAAAGAAGTTTCTCAATACTTTTTTTTTTTTTTTTAATCCAACTAGTTAGAATAAAGGGAAGCATTCTTTGGCTCTCATATTGGCAGACTTCAACTTGATACAGGAGATAATGTTTGCACCCTGAGCAGAGCCCATGTGGTATTCCAATTCACTAGGGCAGAAGGTATTAATGAAGGGTTGTGAATTTTCATTGTTTCCTTGGAAATAAAAGCAGGTTAGCTTATTCCTGGGCTCTGTGCTCCTCTCTCCATCTTGAACACTGTTTTCAAGCACCCTTGCTGAGGACCACCTACATGCTCTCTGGGGCCACCCAGGTCCTGCACAGCTGTTACACTGCAGCAGACTCACTCTCTGAACTCTTGTGCCTGCTCCTTGGCTTGTTGCAGACCTGTGGAACGCCTCCAGGGGCCTCCTGTTCTGAGACTGAATGTGGCGGCCCAAATTGCAGAACTGACGAAGGAGAGAAGAAGTGTGGGGGGCCTGGCTGTGGCGGTCTGGTCACTGTTGCACACAGTGCCTGGCAGAAAGCCATGGACTTTGACCGAGATGTCATGAGTGCCCTGGCTGAGGTGGAGCAGCTCTCCAAGATGGTAATTCAGTGGACGGCCTTAGTTTTTGTTGTTTGTTTGCTTTCAGTTGTGGATTGGAGGATCTGAAAGGGAGAAATCAATTCTAAATGCTGACTAAAATGAAAGGGCATTTTACAATCAAGTATGAAAGTTCAAGTTTTTATGAGGTCAGGGAAAGAGATGAGGTTTTATTTATAGATAATTTAAGAATTTGCTTTCTTCTCATGACAATAATTTGAGATCACCGTTACTTACCATGGGTCCAGGGTTGTGAATGCATCCAGCTGTACTACAAAGATTCTATAGTAAACAATTGAGCATTTAGTCTTCTAAAGTGACACATGAAGTTTTTTGTTTTTTTTTGTTTTTTTGTTTTTTTTTTGTGAGGAAGATCAGCCCTGAGCTAACATCCATGCCAATCCTCCTCTGTTTTTTGCTGAGGAAGACTGGCCCTGAGCTAACATCCATTGCCAATCCTCCTCCTTTTTTTTTTCCCCTTTTTCTCCCCAAAGCCCCAGTAGATAGTTGTATGTCATAGTTGCACATCCTTGTAGTTGCTGTATGTGGGACGCCGCCTCAGTATGGCCGGAAAAGCGGTGCATTGGTGCGCGCCCAGGATCCGAACCTGGGCCGCCAGTAGCAGAGCATGCACACTTAACCGCTAAGCCACAGGGCCAGCCACGACACATGGATTATTAACGTCAGGTTAACTGAAGTACTTCTGTTGGCACCTGAGAAAAAGACTCAGAAACATTTTACAGGCCACCAAATGTTCTGGAGGAGTTAAAAACAACTAGAAAAAATTTTATATGCTAGCCCTATCTATATAAGACTACTGTATAGGAATCTGTATACTGAATACTTTCAGACTGTATAGGAATATAATACTAGATTATTGACTGGGAGACATTTGTTTCTAAAAGCCGTGATTCCAAATGCTTCCTGTTTCAACATCATTTTCTGGGCCATTTATAATATTCTGGTCTGCTTTAAAAACAGTGAAGTTGTTCCATGAGTAATTTATTCCTCATCTGTAGGTCTCTGAAGCAAAACTGAGGGCAGATGAGGCAAAACAGAATGCTCAAGATGTTCTGTTGAAAACCAACGCTACCAAAGAAAAAGTGGATAAGAGCAATGAGGACCTGAGAAATCTCATCAAGCAGATCAGAAACTTTCTGACTCGTAAGGAATTTTTTCATTTTACTTTTAGACATTTCTTCCTATCTTGGAATATAAAACCGTTTTATAAGAGTCTTTTTGTTAGGCTATAATTCAAATCTGCATTTTAGATAAAATGAATGTCTGACAGAGAATAAAGTAATATTTCCAAATAAAAAAAAAGTCCATGTTAAGAAATGTTTCCATTTAAGAAGCTTATGTATGTGTATGTAAATAACCTTCTCTGATGTTATGCAGATACAGACCCATCTGATGGGATACTCAAGTAGGAAATCAAGAAGTCAAACATACACTGTGAGAACTGAATTTGGAATCTATAGTAGAGATGACGTATAATGTCATTAGAACCTTAACTCAGAGTTTATTTTGACATTGCCCGCAAAGCTCTGTAATCCTATTATTTACATGATGTTATACCTTTGGTTAGACAGCTCTATACCTTAATGTTTTGTAGAGAAAAAGAAAATCTCTAGAATTTGTGGTCCAGCTCCTAAGTGTTGCCAGTCACAGTTTGAGTGTCATCAGTAAGGATGGTTTTGGCTTCAAGTTACAGAAAACTTTCAACTGAAATGAACTTAATCAAAAAATATGTGTATTATATCACATACCAAAAAGTTCAGTAGTGGGACAGCTCTGTGTTTCTGGGACCCACATACTTTTCATCTTTCTGCTCTGCCCCATTTTAAGCATATCAGCTTTGTTCTCAGGCTAGCTCCTCCTGGTTAGAAGGTGGCTGCCAAAGTTCTAGACTTCACATAATGATTCAATACTACCTAACGGAAGAAGAGACCACCTGTTCCTTTGTTGTATCTTTTCTTAAGGGAGGAAATCTTCCCCAGAAGGCTTTGGGCAGTCATCTCCATAAATCTCATTGGCCAGAAATGAATCCCATAACCATGCATGTCACTGGCAAGTGGAATGGGATTACTGTAATTGGCAGACTAATCAAGATTTAACTCTGAGTTGATAAGTTTACCTTACCTTAGAGGGAGGTCCTGAACAAAATCAGAATTCTGTTTGCAAGGAGAAGGGAGGAATGGCTAACAAGTAAGGAAGCCATCACTCAATCACATTTTCCTGTGCTTAAATCCTTAGGGGTCCATTTTTATTTTCTTAGACAGTTAAAAAAAAAAAGAAGCTTAAATTAATGACATATTTGAAGCTTAACTTCTTTGGCATCTTTTTGACCACCTTTCACATTTAACATTTGAAATTTCTTGGCTTCTTTGAAAATACACTATCCTGATTCTCTTGCTTCTCTGACTGGATTTTCTCTCTCTGTAATTTCCTGAATCCAGATAATTTATGAGGAATATCAACTCTTTACATCTGCATTTACAATAGTTTCCTAGCTATTCTTCCAACCTCAATTAAGTTTTCATTGCCTTTTAGAATCAAGTGCCATCTTTATACCCTGCCTCTACTGTTTTCTACACTCTGAACCATTCACTCTGCCTGACTTTCACATGACATGCTCTGCCCATACTATCTCTCCATCCAGAGATGTCCTTCTTTTTTCTTTCAAATCCTATTATCCTTCAAAACCTGATCAGTTCCTCATCCTCCACCAAGTCTTCCCTGACTGTCCCAGCCTACAGCTCATTCCTGTAGTACTCATTGTCTGTAGCTCCTCTTTCATGTGTGTAGGTTTCATCTCCCCACTCAGACTACAAACTCGTAAACAAGAAATGCATTATGTCTTGGTGTAACCCCACCGTGCTGTTCACCTACTGGGTCACCAGTAAGTGGCTGAGTGAACCATCTATGATTTTCACCTCTTTACGGGGACATCTTTGCTTTTAACAGAGGATAGTGCTGACTTGGACAGCATTGAAGCAGTTGCTAATGAAGTATTGAAAATGGAAATGCCTAGCACCCCACAGCAGTTACAGAACCTGACAGAAGATATTCGTGAACGAGTTGAAAGCCTTTCTCAAGTAGAGGTTATTTTACAGCAAAGTGCTGCTGACATCACCAGAGCTGAGCTGTTGTTAGAAGAAGCTAAAAGAGCCAGGTATCTGAAGACATTGTGGCATCTGGGAGCTTCTTTTGTGGGAGCTTATTTTCTGTACCTAGTATGGAGTAAAAAAGTATTTCTTGAACCAGTGAAATTTCTAAGAGTGACCTGGGCGTCTCTCTCTTGGTCATTCCAGGAAGGCTGTTCTTTCTTCTTTTCTGAGGGGAAGTACTTTTCTCATGTTCATGTATATTGCCTCTTTTACTCAGCAAAAGTGCAACAGACGTTAAAGTCACTGCAGACATGGTAAAGGAAGCTCTGGAAGAAGCGGAGAAGGCGCAGATTGCAGCAGAGAAGGCAATTAAACAGGCAGATGAAGACATCCAAGGGACCCAGAACCTGCTGACTTCCGTAAGATATATTACAATCTACATGTGGGAGAACACACTCACATATACTTTTATCAGGAAGGTTTAAGTGCATTTGATAGTTATTTATGAATATTCTTACAACTGAACATTAAAGGATTCCTCTAATTTAAATAAATCTGAACTACTCCTTAGCACATTTTCAAGGGAAAAAAGCACTCTGAAGACACTAAAACATTAAGCCCCCCTTTCATTTTAACCCCCACAAAACGCCTAAGAAAGACTGTGTGTTTCTATCTCCTGTTCTTTCAAGGAACTGCATAGACTCTACTTAGGAGTATGAAAAATAGTGTTAATTTCAAAATCCAGTTTTAGAAAACTCGTTATAAAGCAGCCCCAAAGCAACCTACAAGCATGGTTAAGACTACTGTCTCAAGATTTATGAGGTGGTTGGTCACAAAAATTTTACTACAGTTTTGAAACCCACTGGAAAGCAACCAAAGTCAAAATATCTACTTCCACTGTCCAATTCTAGGGGAACCTAGTAGAGATGTTATAGCTCAACAATTTGTTTTGTTCAGAATGCATGGAAAACTTAATGATTTTTATAAGCAAAATACTCTTAGTGGTTGGTGCCTTTAATATCTGGTAGTCTCAAAGAGAACTTTTCACATGGATTTAATGCTTTATTCTAAAAATCCTCTTATTTCTTAAAAGTAATGTAAACATAATTCTACTTTAGTCGTTCATTTTTCAAAAACCAGTTCTATAAGCAAATTTTTCCTCCAAATTTTAGGAAAGTTCATTTGTTTTATAAAGATGGGTGAAGAAAATTGATGAGTCATTCAATCTCTACCCATCTTCTAGAATATACTTTGAAATTAGATGCTCCCATTACTCGGCACTGTCACCCTCCTCAGGCCAACAATCCCTAATGTTTAAAACCTGGGAGATGGTTTTTCTCAACCTGCTTTTCCTATGATTAGTTGATAGAAACCTGTCTTCCCCTGTTCTACTGTTCTCCGTAAACTGAAGCCTGCCAGTTCCTCAGCTACAGCTCCTTCTTAAAGTTTGAGCATATATATAAGGCCCCTTCTTCAGGCTACTTGTTCAAGTTTAAAAAAATTTTGTTTTCCCACCAGTGTTCTAACCTTTTCATTATTCTGATTTTTCTATCTCTAAGTTTTTCAACTTTCTTAGTGTGCTGGTAGCATTTTAATGAACTTTATCTATTTAGGTGACTTTTTAAAAATTACTGTTTTGAAATGGAAAATATTAAGTTATAGAAGTGAGCTATTTGGCTTGATGATGGAAGTTAATAATGGTGGTTTTGTTTTTCAGGGACCCTGGGGGGAGGAAGTGTTTTAGGATAACAAATAGGAAACCAAGAGAACCTCTAACTAAACTATGCTAATGAAAACTTGTCAGAAACTGTCCACACTTTTAAGAATAAAACTATAAAGCTTATCTTCTAAGAATTATAACTACTCTCTAAGGATAAGGATTTTTTTCTTAAGTTAATTAATGGGTGAACTTTTAGGTCAAGAATCATTTGGTTTGAAATAGTTACAAATTTGAGCATGTCTATACTGACCCATTAGTTTAACTATTGTTATTCAGAGTTAATTCTATGGAATAGACCAATCCTTGAAGATCATTTTTAAGAAAAATTAGATGCTCAGTGAACTGGTTCTTCTGACATGGGTCAGACGCTTACCTTGGCTAGCTTTTAAAAATCAATGTTTATTGATTATAATTTGAAAAGAGGTCAAATGTGGATCCTCACCAGTTGCCCAGATTTTTTCCCTAAATAACTCAGAGTATTTATAGCTTCCAGCAGTAACTCTCCCAGACCATATGCCATCTCACAATCCTATAGTAACTTCTCAGAGTTTTAAAGAACATTCCTGGTCCCCATGTCTTCAGTAATTAGCTAAAAACACTCAAATTAACTTTCTAGGTAGTTTCTGAAATGCTATAACCTCCACTACTAGAGTTTAACATTTAGAGTTGATAGAAAAACTAAAGGTGGCTGGGAGTTATAATTTTCCCACCCACATTAATTTGGAAATCTATGTGGAAATCCCTTTTCTCACATCTGCTTATTTGTGAATATTGTTTAGCCAAAGTTTGCAAGTGTTCTTAAAATGCTTTCTCAACACATCAGGCTGCCTGGGGGTGGTTCAGTAAGGAAAAATTTTACATGAATTTCAGCCTAGATCATCAAAAGTACCAAAAGAATAAAGTTAATATAGGAGATATAGCAAAGACTATTTAAAGTTGGGCACATCACATAGGCTTTCCTGAAATTTTATTTTTAGTTGACTACTTTTGTTCTAGAGCAAAATAGCATGGCAGCCTTTTAAATCTTCCTCTAAACTTATATTCATAGAACTTCCTACCACTTCTTAAATTAATGGTTTGCTAGATGATTGACATTATACTTTTAGATTGAGTCTGAAACAGCAGCTTCTGAGGAAACCTTGGTCAACGCCTCCCAGCGCATCAGTGAGCTAGAGAGGAATGTGGAAGAACTTAAGCGCAAGGCTGCCCAGAACTCTGGGGAGGCAGAGTATATTGAAAAAGTTGTATATACTGTGAAACAAAGTGCAGATGATGTTAAGAAGGTAAGTAAATCTTTGTAACTTCACAGCTATGTTGATAAAGGAGCAATCAGTCTCCTCGTTGCCTTCCTTGGAATTAATAAGGGACGTGGACCTAACATCGTTATTCATCAGAAACATCCCAAGTGACCTGTTTTGAAATAGCAGTCTTCAGAGACACAGCTGGAAAAGAATGGGAGTGGATATGAAAGTATCCAAACTTGGATAAGGGTTTAGAAAAATGAAATTAATTTAACTTAGGGGTGGAAGTCTTAAAGCAAGCATTCTGTATTTCAATTAGGAAGATCTTTATGGAATACATTAATTACCTGGCCATTTGAGAAATCGTTAAAAGCAGGGTAGAAAAGGCTTAGAGTTCTTAACAGAGACAGCTAGTAGGGAAGCAAATCTCACCTCTTCCACACTCATTTTGAATTAACCACCTCGGTTTTCTCATTGGAGGGTACTATATTTTGCAGAGAAAATCTCACACAACCCAAATTTTTCATCAGAAGCCAAGTGATCACTGAAACACCTGTTCAGTTTCTAAATTTGTATGGGCAAATGTTTATCTCTAAAGAAACCTTTTTGAACTTTTTTTTTTTTTTTTTGGTGAGGAAGATTGGCCATGAGCTAAGATCCATGCCCATCTTCCTCCATTTTGCATGTGGGATGCCGTCACAGCATAGCTTGATGAGCAGTGCATAGGTCTGTGCCCAGGATTCGTACCTGTGAACGCCAGGCTGCCAAAGCAGAGTGTGTGAACTTACCACCGGGCTAGCCCCCCTTTTTGAACTTTTGAGGGGAGTGTTGAACCTGTTAAATGAATAGTAAGGAGTTATAAACTGAAATTAAATCAAGATTTTTCTGAAGTTACTGTGGCTTTTAAGCATTACATAAGGGTGACTTCCCTACACCTCTGGGTTAGGGGAGAGAACAAAACAGAAAAGTTCATTGCCACATCTGTCTTTTCCATTGTGGGTTATAGCTTCCTGTGGTTCTGAGAGCATAAATTTCCCAAGTAGTCTTCTTACAGAGCATTTTGCATCAATATGACATCTGATTACATCAAGACGGATAAAACCCCTCGACATGAAATTTCTGTATCAATGGCTATTGTTTGAACAGTGTTTCTCAAAAAAAATCACTTACAACCATCTTTCCAAACCCACACCAATTTCTCCTTTCTTCACCCACCCCACATATGCTACAATCTCGCTCTGCCTTTGGTTAAATCTGCCTTTTCCCTCTGATTTCCTTATATCAAGTCTCTACAAACCCTAAATTAGTCAAAATGCAGATGGTCATCCTTCCATTTCTTCAAAACGAGCCATTTTTGATGTCTAAATGTTTGGATCTCAGCACATCTACTTTTGAGCAAATCTATTTCTGACTCTCCATATAATTCTCTTACAGCATCTCCACAGAAAAGTGCTAATCAGCAGAAGAGAGGGCTTAGCCCTCGAGACCTGCTATAGCTCCAAAGTGTCTTAGAAATCTTTCGTTTTTAAAAATCATGGCAATATTATATTTAATTCCACTGTTTCAAGATAATGTTTTCAGTTATTTACCACTGAATAGCTGGAAGCCTGAGTACGCTTCCTGGTGGCCCTTAATCCAGAATACTTGCCATGCAAGTTAATATCTGTGATCCCAGCCTGCCCTGATTATACTTCTGCTTTTAAATGTAATTACTGACACTAACACTATCACTTCTTTGTGTCTAAATGTGGAACTGCAGACTCTGGATGGTGAACTTGATGAAAAGTATAAGAAAGTAGAAAACTTAATTGCCAAAAAAACCGAAGAGTCGGCTGATGCCAGAAGGAAAGCTGAAATGCTACAAAATGAAGCAAAAACACTTTTGGCTCAAGCAAACAGCAAGCTGCAACTGCTGAAAGGTAGGTCTTTTCACTTAGGCTCATGGTTTCAAGACGTATTTGCAAATGAAGACATCCGTAGACTTTATTTTATTTAAAAGGTGGAAATCTATTCACTTTGTCTTAGGCACTGAAAGCCTTACAGGCAAAGAGGATCAGTATTAGATTTTGAGATGATCATAGTATAAATCGCTCAGACTTTTTCTTTTCATCTCGCACAGATTTAGAAAGAAAATATGAGGACAATCAAAAATATTTAGAAGATAAAGCTCAAGAATTAGTAAGACTGGAAGGAGAAGTCCGTTCACTCCTAAAAGATATAAGCCAGAAAGTTGCTGTTTATAGCACCTGCTTGTAACAGAGGACAGGCTACAAGTGTAAGACGGCTGAAGTGACCAAAGTCAGCTACATTCTAAAAACTGATGTAATGATCTTCAAAGTAAAACTCATTACCTATTTAATGTTTTTAATCGCCACATTTTGTATGGAGTTAAATAAAGTACAGTGCTTTTGTATAAATATATATTTAGTATAATTCTTAATTCAGTGTTACTTTTACTGATTCAGTGTTCATGAAACCCTTTAATGAAGAAGGTGATTTTCACTGTGAAGATGGCTTTATAAACACGTTGATTGCCTCCATGGAGACCCTAATTTCTGTTATGTCTATAAACAAGCGGTTACTCATCTGCTAGGTCAGTATCTTCCACAAATTCACCTCCCAGTGGGATTCCCAGGTGGAGGTTAAGGGGGAAGGACATAGCCTGAGCTCCCTTCACCATTTCAGTGGCTGCTTAGTTGCTCCAATCTCCAAAACTCCCGTAAGTATTCCTTGCTCTAGGAAAGAGAACAAAAATCAGCCGTTTATAGAAAAATCAGGAGAGTGAATTATGGCTTTTAAGTGTTACCACCTAGAATAGGGCCAGGGTTGCTGAGGGGAGCAGATTTGGGCCTGAGTTTACAGACATTGCTCCTGCCAACTAAGCAGTGCTTCTCAAAGTACAGAATGATGCTAAAATTTCTCAGCTTTTATATTGTATTTTATTTGATTTCACAAAGTAAAGATTCTCGGATACAATCTGTAGGTAAGGCCAAAACAATCATATAACAATCACTTATTCCACAGGATTAAGAGGATATCTGGAATACAACTGCCAAACCTGTGTGAACTATAGCTAAGCTAGCTCATAACAGGCCAGGCCCTAAGTGGGTTTTTCACACATTCTTCTTAGAGCAAGACGGTTCTGCGTACCACTTAACAACCACCCACACATCCAACACAGCTGCATTTGAAGCTGGGCCTGAACAAAAGTTATGTCAGCAGCTGTAATTTAAACAATAAGGCAACTTCCCTCTGGTTCCAGGCAATTATTTGTCACTTTTATTTAGGTAGGAATCCTAATAACTAGCAAAGTGGTCATACCTCATCATCTACTAGACCAACTAAGTCTTTTTTTCTTAATTATAAATATTTTACTTAAAATAGTAGAAAATCTTCACTACTCCCCATTCCTTTTCAGCTAATCAGCTCAAGATCTCACTTTGAAACTAATTTTAATTAGCTCAATGAACTGGACAACTAAGCCCTACCCTTCACAAGCCAAGAAGATATTGAGAACTTAGTAAATAATAGTAAGAAAGCGAACATTTAAAATTTGTTTTAGGGCCGGCCCCATGGCTTAGCAGTTAAGTGCGCGTGCTCTGCTACTGGCGGCCCGGGTTCAGATCCAGGCGCGCACCAACGCACCGCTTCTCCGGCCATGCTGAGGCCACGTCCCACGTACAGCAACTAGAAGGACGTGCAACTATGACATACAACTATCTGCTGGGGCTTTGGGGAAAAAAAAAGGAGGAAGATTGGCAATAGATGTTAGCTCAGAGCCAGTCTTCCTCAGCAAAAAGAGGAGGATTAGCATGGATGTTAGCTCAGGGCTGATCTTCCTCAAAAAAATAAAATAAAAATAAAAATAAAATTTGTTTTATACCTAGGACTTCATTCCCACCCAGATATATCTGCATTCTCATATTGAATGGGAACCCTTAAAGTTAGATTTTAACTATTATTTTATCTCTCTATAGCTAGGACTTCATTTTAAATTATATTTCACTATTCCCTAATTAGAAACTTTTTGCCTGGAGTCGGGCACATGTTTGAGGTTTAACTAAACTAGCATTTCACAAAATATTGGGATTTCAGCTTTCAAAAAGATGCAGAGGTCGTTTCCAATAATGGCAAAGTAGCGTGTATCAGACCAACCCTCCTGCTGATAACAATTGCAAACTCTGAACAAAACATATATTTTTTAAAAAAGTAAAGGTACTGGAGAAAAAGCAGGTAGAAGGTAGAGGGGAGCTGACACTCAAGAAAGAACAGCACTTGGTGAAATTCCCATTTTTTAACAGCTTTTCACTTGCGGGGAGATCCCAGTAAGTGGCAACCTGGGCCGAACCCAATTTTTACTGGTTAAGCAATCAGATGACAGTTTGGGGCAACCACAGCAACTGAAATATGAGGGGGGAAGCCCTGAAAAGAGAAAGGCACAGAGGAGAGGGCCCCCAAATTCTGCATATACTTTGCCAAATCTCTGGTTGACCCATGAACTACACATGCATGGGGCAGACTTCAGGCAACCCAGGTAAAGCTAAACCAACCAAGTAGAGATTTCAGCTGCTGTTCCCTACAAAGATGCTAAGAGTCTGGAGTTCAGCCAAGTAAACTGCCTACTAAAACAAACCTTCAATATTTTTCAGAGGTATGTAACAGAATCCAGAGTCTTTATAATTTATCAGCAGAAAGCTGTATGGAGTAAGGTACCATCAGTTCATTATAGCTAAAAGGAAAATGTTTAATAGTCTTCAGGTTTTAACTGCATTACACACGGGTCACATTTTCCTTTTTCTTCATGTGTCTAGCGGTCTTGGATTGTATTATGGTCATTATGAATGATAGACTGTATTCTCCAAACTTTCCTTAAGACTACAACCTTTAAATTGCAATCAAGTGAATATCTAATCTGCATATTTCTAGTACTTTAAGATAGTTTACTTTCCTCTTTAGAAATTTATGCTATCCCAAATTTGAGAACTACTAAATGAATCTGAAATGATTCTTAAATTTACAGTATGCAAAAGTCTATTTAGCATTTAATACTTGGTTGTTTCAAAAAATTGCCCTTTTAAATATTTATCAATAAATACAATTTTATAGCACTCTTTAAAAAAACAGTCATTTACACCCAGCCAAGGATACACGAGAAATCCCCATAGGACAAGACAGCAGATTAAAGACTCCCTTACATTGTTTGCTTTTGGAGAAACAATCAGTTAAGTACCACTAAAACAGATGAAAGGGTAATAACCTTTTAAATACCTTAATACTGTCCTACCATGTGGAAAAAAGATACATGCAGGGTTATAAGAATAATAATAAAGAGTAATAAATAAGAATATACACTAGAGATAGTCATAAAAGAACTAGGAACATCTTGACATCCACTCAGAATAACCAGTAAATGAATATTTAAGACATTTATTTCCATATCTTCATTCCCCACTGTAATACATTTGAGTCTCCATTTAATATTTGAATTTTGTAGATATACTTCCTTAATTTAGTTAACTGTATAACTATACTTCAGACTGCAGACCTCAATGGAACCCTAAAAATCTAGCCATGTAAATTCTACCTCTAAACTGCAAGAATTTAGGGATTAAATAAAACAAGTGTGAGAAACCATCACTTTTTATTTACATCAGTTTATACACATTTTAATCTTACTCTAATGACTCTGTTTCCAACATGAAAACCAAGTTTAAAATAACTTGATCATTTTGCTTCATACACAGCTGTTCACATGCCATACTCCAGTTCCATCCATGTAAATAAATCCAACTTTACTATATCAGAAATAAAGGCTACTTAACATAAATTCACTGAAGCTGACTGTTCATAAAGAACATGAAAATAAGGGCTGAAGAAAATTTTCTGAGATGCTACTATAAGTAGCTTTTTTCTGCAATATTAATGCACTGAAACAAAATATTAAATTTATTTAAAATACAGATATGAGATTATTCCATTTTGTCCAAACCTATTAAATACTTTCCAAAAGTTTCATAATTCAGTCAGTCCTAAAAATTCTTGGAGCTGGGAGCACTTCCTGTTCAGAAATATGACCTCTACAGAAGCTCCTAGGAAATTTCAGAAAAAAAATATATAATCTTCTAATTTAAAAGTTGATTGATTTGCCAAATGATGCAGCCAGGTTTGCTTCTCTAAAAGCTTCTGATAAGGTCTGCAAGGGAAGAAATTTTTAAAATTAAAAAGCAAGTATTTGTGGGTCAGAAGAAAATTTAAGTAGGCATTAATTCTGTAGGTTGTTAATACTCACCGGATGCGCATGACAGACTCTAGCTATATCTTCACAGGATGCTCCATATTCTAATGCAAGAGCAGCTTCATTGACCATTTCACCAGCACCCTTTAAAATAATAAACCAAAAAGTAATTTTGTTTCCACAGCAAAAACTACATGCTAACAGCATAGATTAGTTGTTAGAGCAGTTAAATAACTGCCTCCAGTCAGGAAAAGCTTAACAGAAAAGGTGGCACAGAAGAGCTTAGGATCTGGAGCCAGATGGCCTGGATTCAAATCCTACCACCACTTACCTCAACCACTCACTGACTCTGTATGCTTCATTCCATTTATTCACCTCAAAAATGGGAATAGCAACACCCACCTCACAGAGTTGTAAAAACTAAAGTTAATGCATGTAAAATAAAGTTAATGAAAAATTACAGAGTAAGCACTCAAATGTTACACCAGATACATAAGATACCTGGGGGTGGGCAAATGTCAGATTCAGTGGTAGGAAAGGCTTCTTGTAGAAAGTAACATTTGAGCTGAGACCTGAATAATAAGAAGCCAGTCATGCAAAGATCTGAGCATTCTGGGCAAAGGGTACTACAAGCACAAATGTTCTAAACAAGGAACAAGTCTGGCCTGTTATGAAATTGAGAGAAGGCCCATGAGGCAGAAAATTAATGAGCAAAAGGGAAGAATGGAAAAGATGAGGTCTGAAAGACAGGAAGGACCAGATTTAGTGGGGCCTTGTATGTAACAGTCTGAAGTTGAAAAGGACCCCTGGAGAGTTTTAAGCAGGCATGTGGCCTGTGCATTTTTTAAAGGGATAATAGTTGCAGTATGGAAAGGAGATGATATGGTGGGCAAGACTGTGAGAGTGCTGTTGGTACCTTGCTAGAAACGATGCACAAAAAGGTCATATTCAAACTTTAGCTGGTAAAAAATAACCTCAGAATGTAAATACCAGGTGGTTTTAAATTAATCTACTAAACAGCAATGCTTTCCAGAAATCCTAATGGTATTTCTGGTTTTACAATACTCACTGGTCCTAGAATATGTGCTCCCAATACTCTGTCCGTTGATTTCTGCCCAAGAATCTTCACCATGCCATCTGTGTCAGCATTTGTCTTAGCTCTGCTGTTAGCAGCAAATGGGAATTT